ACTTAGATAAATGGTGATATTCCATAACTGATACAATCCTGATGGAGTTTCATCTGCTATGGTGAGTGCATATGTTTGTGTGAAAACACAAGCTGTGATTTTATAGAACAAAAATATACTTGTTGAAATAAAATTTGTCCTCAGTAACAAGGCTTGTGAGATTGCTGAATAAATAAAGAAGTGATACTAGTTATTACAGGTTTGGAATGTTGGAGTTCTACAAAAATTTAACTGATTAATCAGAACAAGCCATCATCTTGCAATCTTAATATCCTTGAATTTTATCACACTAGTTTTTACTGGAGGAGACTGAAAATAACACTCCTTAGATCACTGGAATTAAAATGTTCAGCACCATTTGTGTGTTTCAATGTCTTTTACATGCATTCAGCTAACAAATACAAATAACAAATACAAGAGGCTATGAGATCTGCTGTGTACATGATGACCTACTAAAGAGGCAGGTTTTAATTATGCTCCTAAGGAGACTTTCCCTCGTGCTACCTTCTATTTCTTTGATTTACAAATGATCCCTTCATTTAAAGCAAACACAAGCCTCAAGCCTGTGCTGACTTAACTATTAACTAAATTCTACACCTGCCTTCCAGGGTTCCGAGAATGACCTCTAATTAATCCAAGGCCGATACTATCCTCAGCTCACTATAGGCTTATAGCAGGTGCAAGAACTAATTCGTAAAGTGGCATGATCTAAATCTTTTCATATAATCTAGTATTATGATAGTCTTATGCTTTATTTGCCTTTCCTATATCAGTGCAGTGAATGAATATCCTTTTGAATAAGTTAGTGAAAAGCAGTCACAACATCGAAACTGAACGAGGACACTAAATATGAAAGACATAAACAAGGAGGCAGAATAGATTACCTACACCAAAGAGTGACAATCAATGTCTTTCTTATAGTACCAAAGGCCAGACGTAAAGATGATCAATCCAGTGTTTTTAGAAGAGGTTACATCAATACATTAAACACCCTAGCACATTGTTTATGAAAAGACAACTGAGGTATTTTTAAATACACACATTCAAATAATTCACTCCCCACATTATGTTTCTTAAAACCATAGTATCCCTGAATGTGAAAAAAAAAAAACCCTTAACATGTTCCTTTCACCTCAAAAAAGGTAAAGTAACAATTGCCATTTAAGAGGGGGTTTATTTACTTATTTTTTAGATTATTTTATTTTTACTTGAAGGGCAAAGTTACAGAGAGAAGAAAGTCAAAGAGATGTTCTATCTGCTGGTTCATTCCCCAAATGGCTGCAAAGGCTGGAACTGAGCCGTTCTGAAGCCAGGAGCAAAGATTCTCCTGTCGGTCTCCCACATGAGTACAGGGGCCCAAGGAGCTGAGCATCCTTCACTGCCTTTCCAAGGCAACACACAGGAAACTGAAGTGAAGTGTACAACCTGGGACATGAACTGGTGTCCACAGGGGATGTCAGTGCCAAGGTCAGAAGCTTAGCATGCTATGCCATGGCACCAATCCAAGGGTGCCATTCTTTCTGATGTGATAGGGGGGTCATGTCATGTGGGGTATTATTTTTCACTTCTATTAAAGGCCTCTCCAAAAACAGACATGGCACTATTTATGTTAGAGTGAAAAATCCCCCTCCCCCACCAAAATCAAAGTTCATGCAATAAATGAAAATAAAAAAGGAAACAAGTAAATTAAAGAGAGGGACAGGGAGTACAGAGCTAAGGAACAGAGGTGGTTTTGTTCTCAGGCTAATCTATATTTACTTTAGGGACACTGCCATTACATTATAGTGCTATAGGATCAAACTGTTTCCTATAACCATATATTTACTGAAAAGTCCATTCAAAATTCCAACTTGGAATGTCAAGGAACACATCATTTCCTAGAAGAAGTTGAGAAATCCTCATGTACTCATTTTTCCCATGCAATGGTGAACAGCTGCAACTAGTGCCCAGCACCTAACATTCTCCCAGACCCAAGCCATTCCTAGGAACACTTGGGGCATGGAGGGTATGACTGAGGATGGTTTTAAAAGAAATCCCGATGACCAGCTGTGAGGACAGGATTACATTCCAGCCTCAACCTCAGCCATTCTGAAATTTTGGCTGACTCCCTTTCTACTTTTTCCCTAGGGCTCTGAGAGTGACTTCAATCCTGGGATTTCTTCTTTATTGGGTCAGTGGAGTACAAAATTTGGCTTAGAAATGTCCTACCTTGTTAAATGTTTAGAAAGACTCTCTCCTTTTCTGTAATCAGTTCCTTCTCTAAAACCTTTTAATACACGGAAGCTTGGAAATTAGGCAAAATTATTTTTCTCTGAAAATCAGACTTCATCTCTTCCAGGGACTTGGGGGCAGTGGATAATGATGAAACTTGCAATTCTATTTAGAAGAAGTTATGGAGAAAGAATGAGCCAAGGTTAACCACGAGCAGAAGAGTAGGGATATAGCAGAAAGGGATCAGAACACATCCCCTTTCACAGTGAAGAGCTAGGAGAAGACCAGGTAACCCTTACTCAGAAAAACATCAAACGGGAGGCTTGGCTCAACTCAAAACCCTGGGGGAGCTCCCGATGTTTTGGGAGTGTGGATATACACCAACTTCATTAAAATTGATTGACTATACAGAGTAGAAATGCTACTAGCACATTAGAACTACCATTTCATAATTCAAGTGGAAAAGCATAGTTACAAGATGAACAACACCTAAATGATTATGCATTACATTTATTCCTAATTCATGGAATCATTTTGAGATCATGAGAGCACCACTGTACATGTGAATACAACTTTTGCTCATGATTTCCTGTAGATTATGTTTTATTACTTCATCATTTAATTAGCATAGCAATCTACGATCAGCCTGAGGGGCAGAAGAAGAAAACTGCCAGGCAGCACACTCTGAGTTCCAGAAAGTACAAACAAAACAGAAATGTAAACACAGGTGCCACAGGAAAGCCTAGAGGAATACCATATATTTCAAAAGTATGTAAAATGATCCAATGGCTTAGTTGATTATTCAAATACATTAAAATAATTGTCCTCAATTGCTACTCTTTACTTTTTTAGTCATAAAAGAAGAAAAATCACATAATATTCTAACTACTTTTAGGCATAGTTACTAAAGCATAGCTGAAACACACACTAGAGCCAAACACCTTTGTAATCATTCTGATGACTAATTCTTCACACACTGGTCTTTTTCTAGGGCATCATATATATCAAATATGTTAAACCAATCATACAGACTTACTACACATGGAAACTAGATCCAACTTTCTAGTGAGGCAACTATTAACCATCAATAAAATTGAAAACAGCTTAATAGTCTCTTTCCTTTTGTTTGGCAACATACATTTATTTTCACTCCTGTAGAAGGCAGAGTGACAAAGAGTGACACAGAGATCTTTACTGGTTCATTCTCCAAATATTTTAGCAGACAGGTCTGAGCCAGGTTTAAGCCAGGAGTGCAGAACTCTGTGGGGATCCCACACAGGCCCAAGCATGTGTACCGTCGTCTGTCTACCACCTCTCAGAAAGCTGGGGCACAAGTGGAAGAGTCAAGACCCTGTGAGCCTGGATGTGGACGACCCAAGCAGATAACCCATCTAAAGCATCTCAAGGCCTGCTCCTGTCCTTATTTTCTATAGAAGATGTTGCCAAATTTGTCTCACAATAGGAAATAGTGATTCACACCAAATACTTACAAGATTTACTGCCTAGAAATGATAGGAACTAAAAGAAAAATTTAAATGTACTCTAGTCACTTATACTTTGATTCTTTCAGCTAGGAACTAGCAAAATATCTACATATGTATATATCTATATATTATCTATATCTATATATAAAATTGGAAAGTTAGATTGACAGAGAGAAAGATCTTCCATCTACTGATTCAGTCTCCCAGTGGTTACAACTGCTAGAGCTGAGCCAATCTGAAGCCAAGAGCAAGGAGCTTCTTTTGGGTCTCCCATGCAATTGCAGGGTCCCAAGGCTTTGGGCCATCCTCTACTGCTTTTCCAGGCCACAAGCAGGGAGCTATATGGAAAGTGGAGCTGCAGGGACATGACCCAATGCCCATATGGATCCTGGTATGTGCAAGGTAAGGACTTTAGCGCTGGGCTACTCAACCAATATAGCAGCAGACCCTCAATGAATATATATATTTACCATATATATTAATATATTTATATAATATGGGATATTATTAATATATATTTATATAATAAATATATTATATATTTGTGTTTATTTATATAGATTATATATTAATATAGCTATATAATATATTCATATATTAATATATTTGTATCATATATTATATATATTTATTATATATGATTAATATATATATTTATTAGATTGCATTATGTGACACAGTTTTAGGCACTAGGATTCCCCCTATCGAACATATATTACATACAAATATATTTAAAGACCAAAGGAAAACTGACTTCTTTTCTTTACAAAATATTTTAAAAATCTGATATATGCAAAAATTATTAAATGCTTGTATTGTGTGGTAGTAATGGAAATGGGATAAATGAGAAATTTTCATAATTGCAAAGTAAAGTAACCTATTAGAGAAATGAACCACAGTAGACTTCATTCACTATTACAAAACATTGCACTAAATAATGATGTAAGCGTACAGACTAGTATTCACTTTAAAACGGCATAAATCAACATGCTAAATATTTGCATACATTTGCATAAACCAACAAAGTAATAACTTATCGGAATTATAAACGATAAAGTCAAAAAATTCATATAAATTAAGTACCTATAAAAAAATGAAGCGGTATCTTATTTTTTCTATGTCTCACCTAAATTAGAACATCTTTTTTTTTTTTCCATTAGTGAGAAAACATGAAAGTAATTTTCTTGCAAGGCTATAACGTCTGGTGAAAGCAAGGGTGTAAGAGCGGGTGTAAGAGCTTTCTAGCAGCGCATTTCATGTCAGTGTAACCAGGATCATTTTTCAGCTTCATGAGGACTGGCTTACCGTTGGTGCTGTGTCTACCTGATGGTTGCGAGGCCTTCTTTCTGCGCTGACCATTCCTATGGAAACAAAAGATTGTATTCACTTACTATGTCTGTTCGTTTTATTTGAAGACAAATTTAAGTCCGTGAGACATCACTGACCCAGTTTAAGAGAAGAAAGCCTTGCCTGATGGATCCCTAGATGTGTATCATGAATTCATTAATCAGAAACATTTGTTGAGTTTAGCTAAACACCTGACTCAAGGTCGGCTAAGCCAATTTTTTCCTAGTCATTGTGTCCAATAATAGTGCAAGATGTGTCTATATGACATAAGTCGCTCACAGATTTTATCATTACCTCGTCTTCACTGCTTTTCTTGCACAAAAAAAGTTTTATTTCTGACCTGAGGCCATCAATGTTTTATAAAAGCATATCACAAGACTGTGAAAGGAATTACCACTACCTTCCTTTCTCAAAATACTAAAGCAACTTGTGTTTCTCTTGGACTGTCTAGCTTCCCACTTAAGCATATTCCAGTTCACTGCTGAGTGCCTGAACGAGAGGTGGTACCTTGATTCTCTCTTGTAAAATGATAATGTGGATGGCTAATCTTGGGAGGCATCCTTTTATCATTTGTGGATTTTTCTTTGTGTTACCAATGTCGTCTACACATTTATGTGTAACAAACAGTCTTTAAAGATAACATATGGCATTCTCGTCTATAGACACTGGTTAGCTAGCTCAAGTTAAAAGTGAGCAAGGATGTGGGTTTCATGAATTTTCCAATATCCATCCATGAGCAAACTAATCTGAGGTAGCATATTAGAATACTCTGTTTAAATAACACGAATGCTGGACACAAGCAGGCTACAGGAGGGAACTGTAAAGTTTGTTAACAACAATTAGCTAAGTTCTCAGATGCAAAAGAAATTTTATCTTCTCTCTTTCATAAGCATTTACATTTTTTCCTTTTAGGTATGATAAGGGATTAAGTGAGATCAACGCAAAATAACTACTTTTTACTTTTTAAGATTATATTAAACAACGCATATAGGTTTGGTTTCATTTAAAAAATACTTCCAGGGGGGCCAGCAATGAGACGTAGCAGGTAAAGCCTGTAATTGTAATGCTGGCATCCCATATGGGCATTGTCTCATGTTCTGGCTGCTCCACTTCATATCCAGATCACTGCCAGTGGTCGGGAAAAAGCAAAGGAAGGTGGCTTAAGTACTTGGCTCCTGCCACCCATGTGGGAGATCAGATGAAGTTCCTGGCTCCTGGCTTTGATCTGGTCCTTGCTGCTATGTAGGGAATAAACCAGTAGATTGAAGATCCTTCCCCCACACCTTTTGTCTCTCCTCTGCCCAACACAATGATTATCAAATAAACAAGTCCTTGTTTGCTTGTTTGTTTTTAAAATTCTTTCAATATGTATTGTTAGCCAGTGAAATATAATGTAGTAGACTTCAGTCAACTAACATTTACTGAATGGCTATGTGACAGTGATGAAAGATGAAACAAACATGATTTCTGACTCAAGAACCTAGTAACATAGAAACACTGTCTTTAAAAAAAAATGCAAGAGTAAATGAGCAAGGTTTTGTCTTAAGTATTTAGGTGTTTTTGATGGAAAGACTCATATTGTTAGAGGAACACTGGTTTGTGTAGAACATTTTTTCAAAAAAACAGTGAAACATTGGAAAGCATTCAATTAATGAAGATGCTTGTTACAAGATTTTAACTGTACGGAAGTGTCCACATACCCAGCCGGTGTATTCCCACAACCCTCTGAATTGCAACCTTTGACAGCATTTAAGGTCTGGAACACTGGTTCCCATACCATGGGGTGCAGGAATTAGCAATATCTCACAGTTGTATTCCCACTATTATGTGACTGCCAAAAATTGATAGAGTATTTTTTAACGCTGTTATCCAATTATGAAAATTGTTTCAGTGTGTTTACTGTAAATCAATGCATTCACAGGGTATTAACACTTTGAATGTTTATCATTTTGTCCAACTGCAGCATTTCTTAAGTAAATCAAAGTACTTTTATTGTAGATATAGCCAATGATTATTAACATTTTTATTTTTAAAAAACCTCCTTCAAGGCCCGGCGATGTGGTCTACCGGCTAAAGTCCTTGCCTTCAACGCCCTGGGATACCATATGGGAGCCGGTTCTAATCCTGGCAGCTCCACTTCCCATCCAGCTTCCTGCTTGTGGCCTGGGAAAGCAGTTGAGGACGGCCCAAAGCTTTGGGACCCTGCACCTGCATGTGGGATACCCAGAAGAAGTTCCTGGCTCATGGCTTTGGATCGGCATAGCATCGGCTGTTGTGCTCACTTGGGAAATGAATCATCAGACGGAAGATCTTCCTCTCTGTTTCACCTCCTCTCTGTGTATCTGACTTTCCAATAAATAAATAAATATTTTTTAAAAATCCTTCAAATATCAACATAATTACGTTATGCTTCAACTATCAGATTTTTCCAAAAAGTATAAAAATGAATCATTTGTATAAAAACAAATAATTTAAAATCCTGTAAATATTATACCATGTTATCAATCCACCAAATCGAAATCAATTGTTAAGCTGAACCACAAGTTAAAAAAATAATAATAATTTTGGCTTGTGGAGAAGTGTACAGTGTTTTAGAAACTCTTCCTTATCAGTTATCCACTGATATAAATCTCCAACAATCAAGTGAGTAGGAGGGAATGTTTCATAGTAATATAATTTTAACCTCCATTTAAATTGTTTTAAAAATATTACTAAGATGTTTCTGCAATGTTACAATGGTGCTTTCCAGTGGTCACAATTTACAGTTTCAATTTGTATCTATGTAGCTCACTAACATGAAGGGCAGTTTTACTGTAATTATTCCTGAAAAGAAAAGTGGAATACTAGCTTAAATGAATGAACACAGTATGACTTAGAACAAACAATAAATACTGCCATGCAAACTCGTCTACTTCATGTATTTATTCACCAAGAAATTATGCATTAGATTTTGTTAACAATCTTTTTCACTTTAACTCAAAAATGTCATGACTTACTGGTAGTGTCCATAAATTCCAAACTATATTACTGGGGAATGGGAGGGAAATAAAGTGATAAATGCACTCTATATAGAAAGCAGTTTCCTCAGATTAAGCCTCTAAAAAAATTTTCAGGGCAGGTGTTGTAACCCAGCAGGTTAAGTCATAGCTTGGGATACCTACAGTCCATAATCAAGGCATGCTTCAGCTCTGTACTGACTTGCATCCCGCTGAGGCAACAGATAAGCTCTTATACTTGGGTCCCTGCCACCCATGTGGGAAACCCCGATGGAGTTTCTGACTGCTGGTTTTGACACAGAGCTGCTGTGGGTATTTGGAGAGTCAACCATTGGGTGAAAGCTCTCTCTCCTTTTTCTTGTTCTTCCTTTCAATTAAATTAAAAATAAGCATTAAAAAAAGTTTCTCTTCTACACTATTTAACACTTTGTCAGTTACAATCTTTTTTCATGAATTCCAACAGAAATCACTCAAGTCAATCTGTCTCATCACTCCGGGACCTTCAACTCTAAACATGTCAACAGAAGAGCCAAATGCTTCAACAAGCAATTCTGAAATTTAGAAAGTTATATGATTGGACTGCACTGTTCAAAGCAATCAGAAACATACAATCCAGAGGTTGCCAGGTTCTTTTGCTTTTCAGGGTGGGCAGTCAAGAGAAGGGAGTAACAAATGAAGTAACATGCTGATCAAGAGCACAGCTGCAACGCACACACACACACACACACACACACATACACACACACACACACACACACACAGAGGGATCCTTTAGTTTTTAAAAATCACTGCAGATGAACTGTGCGGACCTACTGCTCATGATGCCATGATACTATCCACGATTTCAGGAAGTTCTTCCTCCTTGTTCCTTCTTAGTCCCTGTCTTCCCTCCAAAACAATTCCATGTAAGTCATGGCTCAGGTTTAAAAGAAAGTCTCACTACTTGGGTTTGTTTGTTTATTATTTTGCTTTTGTTTTCATTAGCTAGGTGGCAAATATTGCTCCTTGCTACAATGATAAGGTGAGTCCTGGGGCAGTGCTTTGGTTAAACCGGCATCTCTGTTCTTTTGATTTTTCTAGCTGGTTCCCTGAACAGTAGTTTCTTGGAAGCCAGAGAGCTCCTTACCGGCCTGTGCCTGTGGCTTTCATTTTGCTTCTCAAGGGACTTCCAAGAACTCCATTCTTTTCAACATTGGTGGGAGACAGACACTACATGGAGCACAGTTCCACTGTGACTGCACAAGAACTGCAAATTAGCTAGCATGCTTCAATATAACTTAACATCAGAGGTCTCTGTAATGCCACAGCTACATTTGCATATACATTAATATCCCGTTAAATCAGCAAATGGCATTGACGGCTTTCTGGTACTTGGGGGGATGATCTGGCAGTTACGTGTTGTGAATATAATTTTCAACACCGGGATCCTCTATTAGGATACTGTCCTTGTGCAGCTGGCTTAATACAGGGAGTCCAGCTCCACATGGTGGACCGGTCCTCAGTTGTGCTGCTGGACCAAAGAGAAGTCTGTCTGCTTATCCTCTGCACCTATTGCACAGCTATCTTTCAAGTCTTCACTATTTTTTTTTCATATACATTTGTTTTACTTATTTTACTTATTTGGAAGGCAGAGTGAAAAAGAGGAGGAGCAACTAGAGATCTTCTATGGACTGCCTCACTCCAGTGAAAGGAAGTGAAGCAGCCAGGACTCAAACTGGTACTCTGATAAAGATTATTGGCATCACAGCAGCAGCTTCTCCAGCTGTGCCACAATCTGGCTCCTGCAGGGACTCTCACATCAGCTATCTTACCCCAAAAATGAATTTACTTCCACTTGTTTAGTTTCCAAATACTCAAGCGTCAGAAACTCAACCTGGCTCTCCCAAATAGCTGGTAGTGCCCAAACTGCTTGACTCATCACCTGCCTCCTGAGATGTGTATCAGCAGGAAGCTGGAATCTGGAGCAGAGCTGGAACGCAGATACACTAATACAGGATGCAGGCATCCCAAAAGACATC